TCAGTTTGGTTTTTATTATCCCCATGTGATGGCAATTCTAAGTAGAATCTGTGATAAAATGCTCCTCCTGGCAGAGGCTGACAGCTCCCATCACCCAGACTTGGATGTCCCTAACCCAAGGGAAACTAGAATGGATTCAGTCTCTGGGCTTCTACTTGGGACCCTGGCATCACTCAAAGCTCAGCCCTCAAAAACTAATTGCAGACACCTTTTCTGCCCCCATCCCCAAATCTCACCAAAAACCCCAATACAAAACCACAATACTATCTGGTTAAGCGCAAACTCAGGGTTCAAATCCCGACCTCCCCACTTAATAGCTACATGAAAGTTACTTAGCCTCTTTGTGCCTCAGTTTCCTCATTTATAAAATGGTGATAATAACGTAAGTACTTCATAGTACTTAGTACATAGTACCACTGTAAAGTTTAAATTAAGAGTTAAAATGGGCCAGGTGCGGTGGCTCACGCTGTAATCCTAGCACTCTGGGAAGCCGAGGCGGGTGGATCGTTTGAACTCAGGAGTTCAAGACCAGCTTGAGCAAGAGCAAGAACCCGTCTCTACTAAAAATAGAAAGAAATTAGCTGGACAACTAAAAATATATATAGAAAAAATTAGCTGGGCATGGTGGCGCATGCCTGTAGTCCCAGCTACTTGGGAGGCTGAGGCAGGAGGATCGCTTGAGCCCAGGAGTTTGAGGTTGCTGTGAGCTAGGTTGATGCCATGGCACTCTAGCCCAAGCAACAGAGTGAGACTCTGTTTCAAAAAAAAAAAAAATGTCCAGATTCTTTCAAATGCTTCTGATGTCAAATAAAAGAAAAAGAGTAGTGCTCAGGTCACACACTGGAACCCAGAATTTCTTTATACTCATCTACAGTGCCTAACCTGGTCTTTTCCACCCCCACATCCCAGGGAGAGCTGACCGCTAACCTCTCAGTGGTACCAGGGACCTGGTTGTTTCTTGACATCCCTCTGAGGACACACAATGAACCCTAGGGACGAGGCCTGCAAGGAGCTGCCTTGTCCTACCCCACTGGGGTAGGGTGCAAGGGCAGCAAGGGGCCAAGCTTTCAAGTCAAACTGTGGCCCCCTTAGCTGCCATTAACTCCTGCCTTTCTATAGCTTACCATTACGCAGAGAAAAACTTAACTCTTAGAAACTTATGGCTCCAAATCAATAATCTACCCTCCTCTGCCCAGGGGTATCCCCCAATTAAAAAACTTAGGTTGAGTGCAGTGGCTCAGGCTGGGCATGATGGCTCATGCCTACAATTACAGCACTTTGGGAGGCCGAGGCAGGAGGATCGCTTGAGGCCAGGAGTTTGAGACCAGCCTGGGCAACATAGCAAGATCCTGTCTTTACAAAACATAGAAAAATTAGCCAGGCATAGTAGTGCACACCTGTAGTCCCAGCTACTCTGGAGGCTGAGGCTGGAGGATTGCTTGAGCCCAGAAGTTTGAAGCTACAGTGAGCTATGACTGAGCTGCTCCAGCTGGGGCTACAAAGCAAGACTCTGTCTCAAAAAGAAACAAAAAAAAGTTACCATAACTTTATGTCCAAACTTATCGAGTTGTATACATTAAATACAGCTTTATGCATGTCAATCCTACCTCCAAAAAGTGGTTTCAAAAAATGACTAACTTAGTATTATTACCTTACACAGTTATCCCTTGGTATCCAATGGGGGACTGGCTCCAGGATCCCCCAATATCAAAATCCAGGGATGCTCAAGTCCCTGATATAAAATGACATGATATTTGCATATAACCTACAAACATCCTCCCATATAGTTTAAATCATCTCTAGATTACCTATAATACCAAACACAATGTAAATACTACGTAAATAGTTGTTACACTATTTTTTAATTTATATTATTTATTTTACCATATATTTGATCCACAGTTGGTTGAATCTATTGATGCAGAACCCACGGATATGGAGGGCCTACTGCATTATAAAAGTAAGGTCTCCATTTTCAAAGTAAAAAACCACATTTACCCCCCCCCAGAGACATTGTAACTAGGCATCCCACCAGAATCACTCAGACAGGACATGCTTGGGGCTGGGGTTCAGCAGCTCAAGCCTGCCACGGCAGGTTCATGTGTCGTGCTGTATTACCTCACCTGGGGGACAGCAGAGTCTCCAGATTGAAAGGGACACTCAGCTCCTCCCCTTTATTCCCTGCTGCCTTCCTTAGCTTTCAAAGGGTATCAAAACTTTGAACATACCTCCTTCTCAAGTGGCAGAAAAATGCCATTTTCTCCCTAACCCCACGTGATCTTAGCTGTTAGGCTGTGGCCCCCAATATCGCTACAACATAGCAAATGCCTGGTAGTCACTCAAACAAGCCATGTGGTTCTACAAACCACCCCTCACACTCTTTTATACATGCTATTCCCTTTTCTTGGAATGCCTTGTCCACCCCCAGAGGTCTAACTACCTCCTACTTACCCGCATCTCAGAGAAGACTGGCCCATAACCTCGCAGTGGCACCACAGTACCACGTGCTGATATCCCTTTATGTTATCTACCATTGCATTTAACATACCGCCACTTCCTGGCAAGTTTTTTTCACCTTCTGGGCTGAGACCTTTTCACCTGTATCCCTACCCTGCATATGATGCATATGATATGGATAAAAGCCATGGGGAAGCTGGGCAAGCAGGGAGAGTCAAGGCTACACCAAACAGTTTAAGATAAGCAGCCTCACTGATAACCCCCAGCACCATGAAAATACACCTCCTCTCCAGCAAACTAGCACCTTTAGAAATTGAGGTCTTATGGTGGACAGTAGGGTTCTTTGGTTTTCTAGACTTGCTCTAGCTAATCTCCAATAGTCCACTGGGAAGCACCAACCTGGCTTAGCAATGGAAGTAAACCACCAGCAACGCAGATTCTCCAGATGGTGGCTCTTAGGGGTTGCAGAACCGACTGTCTAGGGGGCATTGTAACTAAAGGGAAGGAGTCCAGTTCCAGCTCAAACCACTAATTCACAACAGAGCCCCCAGCAGAGGGGCTCTTAGCCCACTACTCAGAAGGCTGGTGGTGGTGGTGGTGGCAGCAGTGCTTGCCCTTACCAGACCAGAGCAGACAGACACTGAGCTCCAGGAGATCCCCGGGGCCCTTAGGTTTGGACCTCAGCTAAAAGTGAGCCCATGTCCCTGTGCAAGTACCGGTCGCATTGACTCTGAACCACCACAGGGCTGCAGCCCATCTCAACCCCCAAGGAGGAATAGCAGGGATTCCACTCTTTGAAGATACTGTCCTCTCTCCCAGAAAAGGTACTCAGAGTGGCCAAAACCTCAAATGCTTTTTTCAAGACTAGCCTGGCCACAGGGCTCACCTTTCCCAGGTGACAGCAGTGGGTCTGAGGGTCAGCCCAGCTCCAGACTCTCAGGCAGCGTGAAGTCAACCCTTTAGCAGAAGTGGGGTTTTGGGTCCTCACACAGCTTCGCAGGAGACACTGCACTCCCCCAATTTCAGCCCACAGAGGGTCTCGCAGACACCCCACACAACAGCAACGCTGTCACTCTCCCATAACTGACAGAGGAGATTCTGAACAACCAGGCGGAGCCAGGATGGGGTTAAGGTCCCCAAAGCCAAGGGCCTGTGAGCATCAAGGTACAAGGACAAGGCCTTCGGGGGCCAAAACAACCCCACCACCCTCCAACGACCAGAGGACAGATGTTGGGCCCTCCCTTGCAACCCCTCAGTGCTGTATATTCTTCCCTTCCCCCTAAAAGCAGGGATCCAGACCTAGATTCTCCAGATGTCGTGCCACTGGTGCAGCACGGCGGTGGCAGCGGCGGCGGCGGCAGGCCTCTGCATTGCCAAGAGTGGGAGCTGGCAGCGCTGAGCCCTGCCCAGTGGTGGGCCATTACCATCATTCCGCACCAACCCCACAGCACGAGGGAGGGAGCAACACGAGCCCCCACCAGGGGCTCTGTGGTTTCTTCCCCAGACCAAGGGGAAGGACACTCATGGTGGATAACTAGCCCTTGGTTTCCTGGGCAAAAGCGTAACAGGACTGCACAGGAAGGGTCTCTCAGCCCTGGAGTGACACAGCAGAGGCCAGAAGCCCTGCGAAGCTGTCCCTTTTCACACCAGTTGTTGTCTCTGCCAGCCTATCTCCCAGTCCTTACTCGCTGATAGCTTCGAGGCTTTTACCCACCACCCCATCCCACACACATCTCCTCCTCACTGTCCCATTAACCGCCCAGTTGCTGGTGATTCCATGAAGCCGTCTCACACTCCCTCCCTTTAGCATATGGCCGGTGAACCGGATAATGTCGCCTCTCCTTGCAGGATCCCATCCCCGCCAGCTCTGGGTCCTGGCTTGGCTGCCAGGGCAAAACCAGAGGAGGAGGAGGAGGAACTGAGTGTCTTTAGTCATCTCCTTCCCAAGTCTAATTAAACTGCCGGCTCACCCCTGCCAAAGCCCAGGTTCTGGGACTGCGGAAAAAGCCTGCCCACCCCCCACGCCTTTCGCTCTAGTGAACTAAGGTGCCGGGCGGCCGGCCCAGGCCTCCAAGGTCACCGCGAGGGGTCAGGGTGGAAAGGGCAAGGGAGTGAGGGTGCCGCCCCGCAGGCCGTGCTAATCCCGCTCAGCTCCGTCCAGCCGAGGCGGGGTCCCGGCCACGCGGGAGGGGCGCCCCGGAGGAGGGCAGCGAGCCGGGTCCCGGGTGGGGAGCGAGGGACGCGCTGGCTGCAGGCGTGGGGCGGATGCGGCGTCGCTCGCCCACTGCAGGGACGCCCGGACGGCGGCCGGCGCGCCCCGGGCCCGGGAGGGCGGGGAGACAATGCCCGCCCGGCGGGGCAGTCCAGGCCGCACGCCCCGCCGGCCGGACACGGGCGACTCCTCCCCGGGCCACGGGCGGCGGCGGGAAGGCGCCGGGAGCGACGGCCGGACCGACCCCAAGCGGCCGGGAGGCCTCGCTCGCTTCTCCCGCGTCCACGTCCGCGTGCACTGCGCCCGGCAAGCCCGGGGGCCACAGACCCACCTCCTCCTCCAGGGCGCCGCCGGAGCCCGTGCCGGAGCCCGCGCTCGTGCTGGTGCTGTGCTCGCCGTCCGGCTTCAGGTTGCTCATGGTGCGGGGGCTGTGGCAGGGGAGGGAACGCGGAGGGCGAGGAGCTGGGAAGGGGCGCGGGGAGCGGTGCGCTCCGGGGGTGCGGGGCGCGTGGCGGTGGGGCCCGCGGGGCGGCGAGAGGGGCGGCCGCCGCGTCGGACCGGGGTCACATCAAGTTTGGCGGGTGCGGGAGGCGGGGAGGG